GTTGTATATGTCTTAAGTGTAATTTGGCTTGGCTTCCTATTTATGGACATGCTTTTATTTTGAAGGAGAGTTAGCGCAGTTGACAGGAAGTTGTTGTTGCTTTGGAAACAACGTGAAAAGTAATATCTACATATAAAGACGGAGAAAGTAAACGATAACGTTTATGGTTAAGTGTTAGCACCCCCCGAAGATGCACAAGCTCTTACGTTGATATTGGAGATTTCAATCAATTCAATTTGAAAAAAAAACGGGAAAAAAACGAATATCCGAATAACAAAATTGAAACCCGAATAGTACTCCAACGAACGAATATTCGGATATTCGGGTACAGCCCTATTACATAGTGAAGCTTTTTATAGACTGCTTACACTAAAATGCTAACTCAAAAATAGTAACTCAAAATAAAACTTTTGTATTGATTTGTTTAGTGAACCTTTTGGCGTTGCAGTTACAACTCTCTGCCCACAGATGGGGGTGCTGCAGCCCCCTCAGCACCCCCCCTTCCGGCGTCCATGAGTTCTGATAATGGCTGGTACGTCACTAAGCACTGGCTGCTGTCTGACTCTGACAATAGGAGAATGGGTAGACATAGTCAATGACATTAAATAATGGAAAAAAATACTTTCTTTCTATTCGCCTACAAATGAAAAGATTTACTAAGTTATATTCAGAATAGGTTGCTTATGCAAGACGGACACTTTATAAAGTTAAAGGTGACCTATCATGCAAAATGCACTTTTGTACGTCTTTTATACATGAATATGTGTCCCCGGTGTTCCAGGGAACTCACCAAGTGTCAGAAAACACAACCCTCTCTATTTTCCTCCATACCCAAATCTCTTAAAAAGGGGCTGCAACGGATCTGATACAGACTGATCCAGATTTGAACACTTCTATGACGTCACAGAAGTGGCGCTAAGGCTATTGGGCCAACTCCACCAATCAGGAGGAGACAGCCACGGACATTGCTGTTGGAAAGCGCTGGAGACGCTGTAGTACATATGCCAGGCCTGTAGATGGTGCTGTTCTCACATAATCAGCCCATGCAAAGACAGTGTTAAATTGAGCGAAATGAGGAATGGCTAAAATGCATGATCTGTTTGGTATTTTGAAAAATAAAAAGTATAAATATGCCTTATATAGATATGGTCCTACACTACATTATTCAAATATAGCATGATAGGTCCACTTTAAAACACTTCTAACCATCAGCTGATGCACAGTTCTACTGACAAAATAAAAGGTTGCTTGGTCTCCAAAGCATATCATTTTGTGTTTGTTTATCTGTTATAAAATGTGCTGGATTGCCCCACACTATGTTACTGTACACCTCTGTGACTACACATCCTTCTGTTAATGTCTACAGTTCATTCAAATGGTATAAGGTGCATATAAACAAAAGAGGAGAATGAGAAGGGGAGGGTTTCAAGTCGTACTGCTTCTTGATTGCTTATCCTTAATACTCCCTGTTACTGGAAGACTGTTGAGGGTCATTTGAACGTGTACTCACCCTGGACTGCCACACCAGTCTGTAAGGGTTACAGTGCCCCAGTCTCTCCATGACTCTCTGAACTGTGGCCCCCACCTCCTGAGGGTACGGGTCGCCTCGGTTTACCACCTGCACACAGGACAAAGGGGAAGCGGTATTACTAATAGTCGTTATAGTACAGTAGGATGACGAGTAACAGAAGGTAACCAAGTAGCAGCAGCAGGAGTATTATGTGGTAGTGAAAGTAGTAACAGCAAGATCACTAATGATGTAATGGCAGAGTAGTTGTTTGGAGAAGGACGAATCATTTGGAAAGATATCTAGTTGTGATGTATATTTGACTGATAATGGATCTGCTGCTTTGATGTTGCAGGAATACTTACGGCCATAGGAAGCGAGTGTGCGGAGAACAGAATGACGACGTCGTCTCTCTTGTCCTCTGGAAACTTCAGCAGCTCATTTTTGACGTGTTCTGCAAAACACTACACACACAAAGAACAAGGGTTCAGAAATGTAGAACAAAAGAAATTCTTGAATGATAATGGCTGACTGTTTTTCAGGTTTACTCATTATTTTACTGCCTTTTTATAACAATACTAAGGATATTTCAGAAAGCATGTATTTATTATTCGTCATTGTTTTGTTATGTATATTTACATCTTGCATTTAGTTATCATTAACATTTGGTATTTAATGTTACTTTTTTTTTTCTCTGTACTCAAGTCTCACTTGTAAATAAGATATCAGTCCAGTTCCTGATTAAATAAACTAAATTTGTTTTTTAGTTTAGGCATTTTTTTTTTTTTTTTTAAAATGCAGAAACAAATAAAGTAGCAGAAAACATGCATTATGTACTATGGAGGGGACTCTAAGGATTACTCACAAGTACACCGTAAAAGTACTTCATTGTATTTCTGGTAGCAGTCAAACTAGTACCGACTCCAACAGTATCAGTTTTATTAACAAATATTTGTATCATCAAATATAGCAGGGCAAAAAATGAAGAGCAGCTGATATGAAAAAACAAACGGGAGAGGCGGCTGAGTTGACCGCAGTGCAGAATCGCTGTGTAGTTTAATCTCCTAACAATGTTGTCCATTTTAGACACAGGCTTATTATATTTACAGCCCTTAATAACATCCATTTTCTGGGCTCAATGTGTGTCTTGGCCGTTTTCGTTGTGATCGCTAAATTCCCCTTGTATCCCCTTGTTTATAATATTATCACCGTTCCAAGCAAACGAGTGCTTTTTGTTTTGAAATCACTTCCGTGAGTTTCAACCCGCACCTCGCTCCAATGACCATCAGACCATTTAGTAAGGTAAAAAGCAAAAACCCCTTCTCAGACGCTCTTCTGTTTAATAAAGAAAAACAAATGGACGGTAGATACACGGACTCTTTCGGCTCATTAGTTGCTGCCTTAGTTCATTTCCTCTGTGTGTGTGTGTGTGTGTGTGTGTGTGTGTGTGTGTGTGTGTGTGTGTGTGTGTGTGTGTGTGTGTGTGTGGCACCAGTCACATTGATTGGTGGTCCCCTCACTGGTGCCTTTACACAGACACACACTGCTGCTGACACACTTTTGCCAACTTAAACTCCACATGAAGTCTCAAGATAAACCATTAAATAAATTATCTGCTAGGGATGTAACGATACCAAAAACTCACGGTACGATAATATCGCGATAACAAGTCCACTGTACGATATTTATCGTGATATTGAAAAATAGAGAATTTTTTTTTTTTTATAGTTTTTACATTTTTTTTTTTTTTACTTGAATTTTTTTTCTTTATTCAATAATGAATCTGATTTGTACAGCATTTTAGTAGGATAGTAGGATTTTAAAGTGTAAAAAATATAATAATCAGACCTTGCAATAAAATAAATCATGTTTCACTTTAGTTTTTCAAGTAACTCAACTCTAACTCACTCAGCATCATCAGACAGGTTGTTTTTTAGGAATATGAGCATGTCCACATTTCCAGGTAGAAGCTGGGATGTTTGGGCGTTTACAATATCCCCTGCTGTGGAAACAACTCTCTTGCTTGGTACTGATGTTGCTGGGACAGCAGTCGTCGCGTTAACCGAATATTATTTTTAACAATGACGGAAAAATGGGAAAGCAGTCAAACTCGGAACAGCGCCTAAGTTTCCCCGCAGCGAGGCTCTGGTGTTATGCATGCCCTCCAAAAGGAAATGATATAGTTTCCAAACCGTACTTTGCCGTACAGATCATTGAAATGTCTGGGAGTTTTTGCTTTACGCTGTGCGCGCTCCCGCGAGGTGCATGCATATCTCGGTGGGCACGCATAACACGGCATAACACAGGGCGAGATATAAATATACTGTTGGTACTTGTCTGTCTCTAGGTATGTACATGTAGCCCTGTAAATACGATGTCCTTTTGTGTTATCTGTGGTTTTATGTTCAAGTTGTAACTTGCTGCCATGTTGGACAGGTCTCCCTTGAAAAAGTGATCGATGGGACCACCTGGTTAAATAAAGGTTTAAAAGAAAATTAAAATAAATCGCGGTAGATTTTGTCTCACGACGGTATCGAGACATTTATTTATCGCGATATTCGATATATCGTTACATCCCCATTATCTGCTGCTCACACCTGAACTTTGGAATGAACATCCATAACATTCCCCTGTTTGCAACTTATATCAATATTCCAATTACTTGTATATAGACTATTCTGCACTATTTCTATTTTATTCTATTTACTTGCACTATTATCTGTGTTATTGTGTTGCGCTGTGGGAGGAGCCTGTGACCTCAGATGTTCATTGTCATATCTACACTGCAGCTAATGTACACATGACAATAAAAGCCTTGAATCTTGAATCAACATCCTCCTTTTTGATCCAAGAAAAAAAATCCAACTCCCTTACCTCCTGCCCCAGCACCTGTCCATACTCGATGTCCAGCTCGTGCAGGGTCTCGATGTGGTCCGAGGTGAAGGCGATGGGCACCAGCAGGATGTTCTTCTTCCCTCGCTCACACAGGCCTTTAATCACATCGTCCGTCTGGGGGCCAAGCCACTGCATGGGCCCCACCTGGAAGACCCAACACCAGACAGGACAACCGTTTTATTCCACAAAAAGGTGGAGATGTATCGCCTTGCACATTACAACAGTTCTACCACCCTTTAAGACAGAACAAACGGTTATAGACCCGAGAGGACGGTCCATTGTCGAGTTAACGACCTCATTAGATTTCCTCCACTGCTAACTTCACTGAGGCTCCAAGGATAGCTGAATCATCATCTGTTACACACTTTGATATTGTGTCTGTAATGAACACTAGGGGGCACTAGTAGGACTTCACTCTTTTAGGTTGTGGTTGAAAAGGCCAAAAAGATGACATTCTAACCCTTTTTTACTTGACCTTGATAGAAAACGTCATGAGATCAGGAGAATATGTGAAGGTGAATTCATTCAAGACAACTGCGGTGCTCGGAGAATCCCACTGCAGTCACACTACGATATGCAAATATGGGACTGCGGATGCTATCGATGTTGGTCCACCGTGGAAACTACAATGTTCAAAACATGGACTTTTAAAAGTGCACCTTCGATATGTTCGATATGTATGTAGATGTCAGCTACATACACATGGACAACCCATTGAAAAATACAACTTTGTTAACGAGGTTGAATTAGAAACAGAAATAAAAGGCAACCAGTCGTAACAGTTCTAGTTCAAATTGAGATGTTTCCTCACTCTTAACCTCCTGCCCACTCACACTCCCAATTAGTTTGATAGCATACATGATGATCTTTATCCCTTATCCTGATCGTTTGTTATTGTGACTGGCGTATCTTTATAAAAGCAAAGCATTGTGGTTCAGCATGATGTCCTTTCCTCTGGTGAAGGATGGTCCAGTGTACCCTTTGCTAAATGACATACGGAAAGGGAAACATTGGATCACCTTTCCTTAGCATTTAGAGAATTCCACCTGCTCTTATCATGGCTGCCATTTGGGAACTGTTGGGTCATTTCTTTCACTGAGGAAACTTCCTGGGAAAAGCTTTATTCTACCTGAACTCAAGTCTGCTGAAATCAAGCTCTTGTGTGAAACCCCTCTTTAATGGTCACACATGCAGAGCACACAACACAGACAGTGAAATGTGTTCTCTGCATTTAACCCATCCTAGTACCAGGAGTCTAGCACCAGGAGCAGTGGGCAGCTATTGTACAACGCCCGGGGGAGCAATGGGAGTGAGGGGGGAAGGGGGGTGTCCGAGGCCTTGCTCAAGGGCACCACGGCAGGGCAGGAGGTGAACTGCGGCCTCTCCAAGTAGCAGTCCACAGTCCATATTTAGGTCTGGTCAGGGACTTGAACCGGCGAACCCTAGTACTTCATGAAAATTCACATGAACACTCATTAAATGTGCTCAGAGAGGTATGCATTATTGACGTACAAAGACGATGAGAATTAAACAAACGTAGAATTTTTTTGTGTTTTTTTTGACATTTGTGTTTTGTGGTTAAATCAATATAAATTAGTCTTGCCTGACTAGAGGAGTGCGGTCCACGGGAAGCGCCATGTCTCTTTTGTTTTGTTCGATTGGTGCGTGGTGTAAATTGACGTATGGGTAGTTGGAACGTTCTACGAGTATGTAATGTGTGTGCTGTGGTGTTATGTATGACGAAGGAGACTTATAGGAATATAACAATATTTTCTCCGTCTATTTTATTCACTGCTATTTGGCTGTCTAGGTCGTAATGTAAGTCTTAAAGAAAACAAGATGTTAAAGACTTGGTGACAAGAAACACACACATCACCCAAGAGACGTCTGTGGCATTTTCTCGACGAGCGCGTTCAAGGTTCTCCTGTTCTCTCTGTGAGCAGTAAGACAAGAGTGCGTGTGAGCGAAGGATACCAGTGACCGGCATTCATAAGGACCGTTGTAGTTTCGTCTGTCTAGGTAATAGTCGTTTTAGTATGTAGTGTTGATTCTATAGAAAGGTTTACTCAAGCAGGAGGAGGTATTGTTGATGAGACGGAAGTGTAGTAATCACTAGAAACGACAATGATGAAAGTGATGGTGTATTATTGGGACGACGGACGGATGAACCATGGAAGAAAAATGAGCAGTAGGATGACATATATTGCTGATTAATCATTTGCGAAGGGAAACAGACAAGTCCACCATTTGGCTCCGCTGGGCTATGTCCGTCCACCCCCGGTGTCAAGTCTCGTACCTCTGCTGCCCTGACATTGGAATGTTCTGGTGGCCACCAGCCTTTCAGGTCCCACTATGCAAGTTACTGGAGGTTTCAGAAGGTCATTGTCCTATAATTCCTTTCGTTAGTTCTTCGTCATGCTGAACTTTGGAGGGGATGAGATTATAGAGGAAACCAAATTACGTGGAATATTGTAGTTTACTTGACAGTCTTAATGTCTTCCGTAGCGACAGTTAGTGTCCTCCACATGTGCATTGTATCGCAGCCCCGGTCTCGCGCGCGCTCGGGTGTAAAATATTGTCTATGTTGTTTGTGTTTTCACTATACGAAAACCTCTGGTTCGTTGGAAAATAAAACAGTCATCTTGACACGGTAGTCGACTACCAATCTCTCACAAATTTCACCTGGGTAGTACGATATAAACTTATTACATCACCATCGCTGTAATAGATATATGTCGCGTCGTATCAAGTATGAAAAATAAAAAGTTTTTATGGTTTTGTCTAGTACGTAAAATCGGTAAGGAGTAGGAAGCGGAGTTAAATTGTGACGAACGTACCGACTAATAACTCTGTTCGTGGTAGTGTCCGGACCGTATACATGAGTCGAAGGTCGCGAAAGGGTTTGTCGTTACAGCACCGACAGGAGGCTAACCACCCCAACCTGGGTTATCGGAATGCGCGGTGAAGACATGCAGTATCTTGCTACAATTTAGACCTAAGTCAGCATAGTCTAGGCAACGTCGGGAAAAGTTCTCTAAACCCATACCTCCTTTTATCTCTCCGCAGGACACAAAGACTGTGAACCCACTAAGGGACCTTTGTGGCCCTTGTATAAGTACATATTTTCTGCATGTTTCACGGTAAAACGTACTATCCAGTGGAAATTGAAATATTTCACAGCAGAACCGTATTCGTTGGAATAAGACTTATATTGAATCATTTAGAAAAGTAAAGCATCCGCTTATATTTCTTTCATAAAAAAGGTAATAAATTACGAAGTAACTGATACAGATGGGTAAGAGGATGCAGGTCTCAGTCGTGTCGTCTGGGTCACGAGCACTGGCATGGTCGGTAATGTCTTGAGTACCGCTGGCGGCCTTCGCCCCCACGACTCCCCCGACGTCGTGGGGGTAGACACCCGTCTCTCAACATTGCACGTTGCGGTTTTCCAAGTGATTTGTTTAGTTAATGTTTTCAGAAATAAAAACTCGAATGATAAAAACTCAATCCGTAAATATCACATTCGTCAAGATATTTTTCGTAAGTGATACATTATCCGACATGGGCTTATAGGCTTATAAGCAAGGCAACCTCATGGTAAGCTCAAAGTTAAAAACAGATAAGCCTTATAAGCAAAAAAGGTCAAAAAAAAGTTTAACTTAAACTAACTTTAAGTCTATAGTTGCATTCTCGACCGTAGAAGGCCCCCACGATTGTGAATTGGTATTGCAATCAGCAAATGAAAGAGGCAGAAATATACATCCTCTAATTGAAAAGTGAACAAAGGTTTCGGTTGCTTGTTGAAGGACAGTTGACGCGATAGAGAGGAAGTTTTTATTTTCGTACAGGTATTTATGGCCTTGGTTCGGTTTAATGTGAATTCTGTAATATGTTGACGTTGCGTTTCATTTGTTTGTGTTACGGTATAGGAAAAGTTAAAGTTTCTGTGTTTAACCCAATTGTAATTTTTTATTGATATTTTGTTGTATGACATTTCAGTTGATTTTACTTACGGCACTTATGTTTGATTTATGTGGCACTGACTTACGCGCGAGGTGTTCGACAACGATTCTGGTTTACTGACGGTAATTTACTCAATAATATGTTCCGGCGGGGGGGGCCTGGGTTGAGACGTGACTGAAGGGTGCAGGACCAGTCTTGAGGGTTGATTTATGGAATAATTAATTCAATTACTTTGATTTAAAAAGGAACTTCACGTATTAACATTCCGAATAAAAGTATGACTTATACGCGAATAACGATGGCGACAGGTTTTATATTCGTTTGTCACTAATTACTGTGACATTAAAAGTTCAGAAAATGTAAGTCGTTCCGTAGGTAAGACTGCAGAGGCAGGGTTGAGTGGGATTTTAGAATTATTATGTAAAAGGTCATACTTCCTCCACAACTTAAGGGCCTCCCATAAGTACCAAATGTGGTATGTTATAATGTGTTTACGTCCGACATGTTACAATGAAGACACGTGGAAATGTTACGCCTATGTGTCTTAGTAATAAAGGAAACTTACGGTGAGTCGCACCTGGGTGTACAGACAGATTACGGACTTCGATGAAAATCTCGTTAGCTCTCGAAGTTGTCAGGGTGCAGTAGCTTCAAGAACTTCGTTAGTAAGACAAAGTGTTTCTTCTCCTGACGCCTCCCGCAGTCGACCGAAGGACAATCGTACTTTTTTTGAGTGTGTTACACAAAAGATTATATGTTATTGTTATTGTCGTCCTGTGTGTACAGTATTGTCCAATCAAACAATTCTGTATAATACGAACTAAAATTTTTCTCTGGTATGGTCTCTAAAAGAAAACACCATACAATATCAGCACTAAACATCCGTCACGTGTCAGTCATTCCCCGAACCTGNGTCACAGAAGTGGCGCTACGGCTATTGGGCCAACTCCACCAATCAGGAGGAAACAGCCACGGACATTGCCGTTGGAAAGCGCTGGAGACGTTGTAGTACATATGCCAGGCCTGTAGATGGTGCTGTTCTCACAGAATCAGCCCATGATGCAAAGACAGTGTTAAATTGAGCGAAATGAGGAATGGCTAAAATGCATGATCTGTTTGGTATTTTGAAAAATAAAAAGTATAAATATGCCTTATATAGATATGGTCCTACACTACATTATTCAAATATAGCATGATAGGTCTACTTTAAATGAGACTTAATGATACATACTACAACATAGGGCTGTGCGATTATGGCAAAAATCATAATCACGATTATTTTGGTCAATAATTGATATCACGATTATTAAAAACGATTCTCAATTAAATTTGAAAACATCCATTTATTGAAAAAAAAATGTGAACCGTATGTTTTTAAGAGTTGATTACCCTGAACTTTAAGTATAATTCAACTGAAAAAACAATTTTAAAAAATACTTGTTTATTTCGATTACGTTGTTTTCGTAATCGTTGCAAGCCAAAATCGTAATCGCGATTAATTGCACAGCCCTACTACAACAGTACACACACCAGCTCACACACTCCTGGTTGTTTCAGCTGTGGTGTGTGTTCCTCCGCAGGCTGCTGGTTGAAGTCGGAGGAGACGGTGGCGATGAAGACGAAGAGAGCTGACTTTGCTTCTGCTTTCCTGCGAGGACGCATGGTGGTGGCAGGAGGACTGGGTGAGAGATACTTTGACGGTTTATTAAGATGATAGAATAAATCATCCCCCATTTCTGTGTTGGGACATTAACGCCAACTTTCTTCTAACTCAATAACACAAAGTTAACTTCTCGTTTTGGAATGAATAGTCAATAGACCTCATTCACACAAAACCAAACCTAATTTTTGGTTAATTAAAATCAAAAAAGTGAATGTTATGACTATAGTTAAGATCAGTGGAACATTTCTTGATGACTCATCTGGTATATTACAAGATGTAGTCAGAATACTGTTTTGAAACCATTTTAATTTCTTTACTGGCCGCACAAAATGACACCAGATGCTGTATAAATGTAAACAAAACACATAATTACATGAAATAAATGACCTTATGAAGTAGGCAGTAGGATACCATAGTATTTTTGTGGCAATTATATGAAATAACCCTTTATTCTGACATGCAGGAATTGCTCAAATTTGACCCCGGGACAACAGGAAGGTTAATGTAAGATTAAAACAAATCCCAAATTAAACAATTTTCCAACTTGGGATCAATAGAGTTGATTTAATCTAGTTGAATCTTGTCTAATCTTATGAGTTAACTAACGAGTGTTTATATGACTGAATGTATGTGATACAAAATTCAACATCTGAGTCCAGTGGGAAGGTTAGCAGCATTAAATAAAAACGGATTCCTTTATGTTGTAAGATCTCCTTTGAAAGAGACACCTGAGAAATACCCTATATCCCAGTCAGTAAACTACCACAGCCTATAAGGGACAATCTAAGGAGCCGGGGGAAGTGTGTAACGTGACGTCTGTCTGAAAACAGAATGAACAAGATTAAAGTCCTACATTTATTAGAGAGGGCGATCCCCAGCACTGAAGACAACATGTTGATGTGTCCTAGGGAAAGATACCAAACCCAAAAGTGTGTGTGAATGTGTGTTAGTGTTACAATGTGTGTGTGAGCGGGTCAATGCTGACTTGTGCTGACTTCAACCTGCAAGGACACCTCCAATGTTTCACTTTTAAAAGTACTTATAGTGCATTACAAGACAACTGGGGAGGCTGCTTTTTCCCATTTGATCTTGAGAACGGCAACCTCAATTGGAATTGAAGTGGTCAATTTGTGTGTGTGTGTGTGTGTGTGTGTGTGTGTGTGTGTGTGTGTGTGTGTGTGTGTGTGTGTGTGTGTGTGTGTGTGTGTGTGTGTATCAGAAGGTCACAGGGTGGATGGCAGTTAGGGTGTGGGCACACTAAAAAAAGTCTCAACAAATGTGATCTTTTCTGCATCGATTGAGCTCACGTGATCTTTGGAAAGGCGTTCTCTACAGCTCACGGAGGAGCAGCTGTTGTCGGGAGGCTTTACGTTACATCTGTTTCTCCGCAGTGTGAGCCTACCTGTGGTGGAGCAGCTGTACTGAGGATACTGCGTGAAGGCCACCGCTCTCTCCACTCCGTCCTTCTCCATCTCCTCGATGGCTTCCTCCGTCAGCGGGTGAACGTACCGGAAACCGATGTAGAACTTGTGAGGGGCTGAAGAGAAAACGCACACTCATTACTGCGGTTACTGGCCAGGGAAAACACAAGGTTAAAACACATTCATCTGGCATTTGCATATTAAGGGAACATCTGAATAATCCATCAAATACAGCTACTTGTTTTATTTCTTTACTACACAGAATTAGTTATCATAGAGAATATACACGGGTTGTTCTACTCTGATGAGGTTAGTGATGTCAAAGGGTTTGGTCACTTTTCAGAGCGGGTGTTGTGTTGTTATCAGCGAGGTGTGTGCAGGCGTGACAAGACACTCCTCACAGTGTCACTATCTTCACTTCACACACACTCTGCTGCCAACCAGCAAGACACACAACAGCTCTGTTATATTACGACATCTTAAAGCCCCCTACAGACAGAAGCAGCTCAGTGGGTGTCCGGTTCAAGTCCCAGAAAGGTCCCAAGTAAAGAGTCCGAACTGAGGCTAAAAGCTGCCAGGTCGCTTTCTTCTTTCGATAGGAGGGAGAGACTAGATGTCACTGTGTGTGGTGCTGTGCACAGGTGTGACTATTAAACGAGGCCTTGTTAAAATCCTCCGTTCTTATTTGAATTGAATCGATCCTGATTAGCAAGGCACCATCAAAGACACACTGCATTGCTGTGTGTATTAAAATGGAAGTCAAGAATGCTTTAACTAAAGTCTAACGCACTGAACCCCAAGAGTAACAAGTACTTATAGTTACTAATAGTTCTGAAATGGAGGTACTTTTTCAGCTGGTGAACATCCCATAAGTAGCTGTAAGCTGAGTGGCAAAGTAAATGTAATTTATTTGAAAGGTAGGATTGTTTAAATGCAGATACCTAGTTTGTGTGTACTTCAGATCCCAGATGGCTGACCTGTGTGTGTGCGTGTGTGTGTGTGTGTGTGTGTGTGTGTGTGTGTGTGTGTGTGTGTGCCAATTGAAAAGGAATTCATTTCTGACGATAGGTCCTCCCTGATGATTAGTCAGTAATCCGAGCAAGGACTCATAAAAAAAAGGTGCTTTATGTCACAATTATGCAGGAAAATCTAAATTATGAGAAGTTAATTTTAATATAAGTATAGCATTTTCTAGCCAAGAGCGATGCAAAGCAGGGACGGCAAACTAGCTAACTGTTACCCAAGCTAAGGTTAGCCAGCTACACGGCATGGATCAAGGTTGTTAGCTTCTTAACGTTAGTTGATGAAGTTATATAGTAGTATCGTAGAGTAAATGGTCCAAATCAAATTCAGTAGGATCACAGATCGTGTCATTACCATGATACACATAATGATTTATGAGTGTAATGTAGTGTCACGTGGCTGTTTGATGACGGGGGGAGAAGAAGTGTCTCACCCGTGTCAGGGCTCATCTCGTCCAGCAGCTTCACCATGCCCTCCCCCTGCATGGAGGTCCAGTGTTTGATGGGCGAGCCCCCCCCGATCTTACTGTACTGCTCCTGGATCTTTGGAGTCCGTCGCCTAGCGATGAGCGGGCCGAGCTGTCTGTACAGCAAAGAGCAGGTTTTTTAGAACAATACACAAAACAATTGATTCCGAAATAACAAATCTGGCTGGCAGAGAACTTTCAAAAGATTCATTATTGTCATATGCACAAAGCTACAGAGTAGAAATGGCAATGAAATTATTCTGAGCTGAGCTCAACAATGAAACATATATAATAAAATACAAAAAATACACAATTAAAAGTAGTGCAAAAAGTCTATATATATATATATATATATATATAGCTTCCTGGACAACTGGACTCCAAATCACACTGTACATTTCATATTTATATCCTAATATTTAATATTCCATAACTCACATACTTATGTCCAGGCACTTGCACACATAGACCTCAAAGTGGGCTTGAGCCCCTGCCCTTTTTCTTCCTCCAGAGAAAGTGCCCTTTTTATTTTTTATTTTAAATAAATGAATATGTATCTACTGCTGTTTGCGCACACTTTCCAAAAATATATTGATTGAATACAAAATAAAAATATCAGGTCGGGAGATTAGACTGTGAAGTTCTGCTGCTCTCTCTCCCCTCCCTCCCTCCACGTCTTGCGCACAGCCGTGCGGACATAGGCAGTCCCTTCAGACAGACAGGTAGCAGCACCTCCCACTTTACTTTCCCACATTATGCCGGCTTTTCTTGGTTTATTTTGAAGGTGAGTGGTGATGAACAAATGACTAAGCTGCCGGTGTGTGAAAGACACACTCAGAAGCCAAAGTACAGAAAAGAGGCTTTCTGATCTCCTCCTCCTCGCTATATTGAGAAGGACATTCCTGTTATCCACAGTGAAGTAATAAACATCTACAGGGACATGGCCCCCAGAAGGTTGCTGCTGTAAGGGAGGAAGGAGAGACAGCAAGTGAAGACACAAAAACATATTTAACAACTTCCAAGTGCAAAGAAAGATACAAAGAAAGTTAGTAACAAAATAAGTTATTAACAAAATATTTAATTTCAGATTTCAAGACCTTCTTAAATAATTTCAGTAAAGTTGCAGTATTTTTGCATGTTCTTAATAAATATTTTTGATGTGTTTTGTCCAATTAAGTAAATGAGTAGGAGAGCAGAATGTACTAAGTGTAATTGTTGTAACAAAACTTAGCCCTACTTGTAGTTTGGAGTGTAGGTTGGTTTGCGTATTTATGTAGAGAACAGCCTTTTTCAGTTTTGTGTGAAGATTTTTGTTGATTTTGAAGTGTTATTTATTTTGATACCACAAAAATTATTCAAAGGACTTAATGTTGTGCTAAAATAAACTAATTAGTATAGCAATTAACTAGTAGCATAGAAAACATGCACATTGTGGCATAGTTTCCTTTGTTGATGTCTGCTCTTGTGCGTAGTGAATACTAAAGAAGACCATTGTCTCTGATTATTTTGTAGAATTATGTTGAGTATTAAACAATTGCGTGAGTGTGAGGGTATTAAAATTAATTTGTCGGTAAGCCAGAGATGTGCAACTATATTTAACTTTTAATTTTAATCTTTTTTTAATAAATGATTATAGGATGTGCCCTTTTTCTCACTTGAGCCCCTGCCCCCCAAAATGTCTGTGCACGTCCCTGCTTATGTATATATAATATCCTGCTTCATATTTAGTCACTGTACATTTTTAATTCAACATGTATATTTTCTTCTTTTGCTATTTCATTGCTATTGAGATGTTGACATTTTTAAATGTTTATTTCTTGTCTTTTAATTTTATTGAACAATGCCATGTCTTTTTATTCTGCTGCAACACAAAAATGTCCCAACTAGGGATCAATAAAGTACTTATCTTATCTTATTCCTGAATCTTCCAACTGAATATATTCTACAAGATTACCGCTACAAAAAACATCTTCCATCAATAAAATGTGTGTGTGTGTGTGTGTTTGTATTTGTGTGTCCATGGTGCATACTTCTGTACAGGCAGCTGAATCAGGTCTGTGTCCATGAAGAGCCGCCGCAGGAAGTCATGAACGTCTGACAGTTTCTCCGGTCCTCCCATGTTCAGCATCAAGATGCCCGTCTTAGGTTTCCTGCAGGCACAAGAGATTCATTATTAATAATATAGATCAAACACATGGTGATTTGTTCTGATTATTAAAGTCAAAAGTCAAGGTCCAAGCCATTTTTTAACTATTGTCCCCATAGGCTATAATGTTAATTAGCATCCGGCAGTTTCTACTGTATGTGCTGGGGATCCGTACTGTACATTTTTCACATAAAATGTTGGGGTACATTTTCAGGTTCACTATAGGATGAGCTGGCAACTAGACTAATAACGTATTGTTTAAATATGGAGATTAACCGACAACTATAGACAGTCCGTCAGCCGCAGACGCTCAACGATGTAAGCACTTCAGATCCCAGATGGCTGTCCTGTGTGTGTGTGTGTGTGTGTGTGTGTGTGTGTGTGTGTGTGTGTGTGTGTGTGTGTGTGTGTGTGTGTGTGTGTGTGTGTGTGTGTGTGTGTCACCTGTTGTCCTGTGTGTCTGGAGTCTGGGCCAAAGCAGCAGCAGTGGAGCGTCTCCTGACACTCAGACTGACGCTGCTCCTGGCAACTACAGAAGAAGAAGAAGAAAACAGGTTATCTATGAATCTGTTGTAAATATACGGAGAAAGCACATTTGCTTTCATACACTTAATGCATTCAAACTGTTCCCCCTCTGAAATGTTTAGTGTAAGACCAAACCGGTTGTTTGTTTTTTCAATTGCAACAAATGAATAATTATTATTTATTATAAATACGCATGTGGATATACACCATTTCCTGATACCACATATTTGTTTAAGCCCATCGGATTTGTTTTTCACCTCTTGAATTTAACTAAAAGAGACAAATATTTTTTTCCCAAGCATTCAGTGGTTGTTTTTTTCTACTTGCTCCATCAATAGTTTAATTTAGAAAACTTTAACAATACACTCAAACCATTCATTCATCAATGATTGAGTAATCTCGATTTGGGACCGGGTATTAGTCATGAGAAGAGCCCGGCTGCACCATTACATCAAATGAAAATAATCTACAGTAGATGTCATGTGAATTAAATTATACCGATAAAAGCACAATACATTTGGCTTCTTAGGAAATGTTGGGATCTCCAACTAAATGTTCACAAAGTTATGTTAGTTACAAAAATGTCTGACAAGGTTACATAAGTATGATAAGTAAAATAGTGGGTCCATTATCCTTAAATGACCTTAAGTGAAGCTAAACAAACCTTTATAAATAGTACGCTGGTATCAGAACCAGTTTGTGAGGGGGGGGGGGAGACAAAGAGAACAAGCTACAGAAGATGCAATATATGCTGATTTGTGTAAATGCACTGTATGAATGTCTCATTTGAAAGTCTAACAGAAATCCGCTTTACTTTCATAACCCTGAGCTGCAGTACCACGAGGCGCCACCAGAGGCAGGCTGCCATTATGCAAGTTCACAATGCTGGAATTGTGTAACTACGTTTAAATGTTAAGTTATTCCTTATTCGCCGTTAAAACGTGGACAATTAACAATTTTTACGGATCCTCTGGTGGGTAATAAATGCAGCAAGGGATAAGTCCAGTATGCAACATTAACGTTTAACTGTAACCTACAGTACAGTTGGGTATCGTCAAACTAACGGGCGTTAGTCTAGTTCCAGAAACAGCGCATTTTGTTTGCAAAATAAAAGCACATTAGCGGAGACCCTCCAGCAAATACTAGGATTTAGAATTTAAAAAATGGCAAACATGAAAAGGCTATACCACTTTAGATCAGTTAAAGTGAAAACACGTGGATGCTGACTTGATAAATGTCAATAAAACAAAGAATTGCGCTTTAAATTCACAGCAATAGTTTTATTGTGAAAGTTCTGACCGGAAGTTGTACTTCCACATCTTTGCTAACTTTACCAAACGAAGCCAATGTCAGCGTGTTGTTGAGTTTACACTATGTTTAATCAAACAATCATCACTCGAAACTGAATTAGTACAGCATGAAAGAAACACAGTAGCACAGTTCACTTTGTGACAATACAAAAGTGAAATTATGACACTTGAAGATATCAATGCACATATTTAACCAGGCTAACTTAGCTCACAGTCACACTCACATTGTATTAAACGACCTGCGCTGCCAAAGACTGCCATCATGATAGTTTCCGTTTTCAATGCCAGTAAAAGTCCTTGTCCCCACTGTTATGAAGGCCGGATACGTAATAGTCCACGAGTGTTTCCCTGGTGTTTCCCAACACTGAGTAACTCGCAGCCCGGTGTAAAGACAGATTCCTTCAGCTACTACCGGCTGGCTGCACTGACCCTCCCCTGTCAAAATTGGCAATGATAGCTTTAACACTTCCGGTTTCAAATTTCAATGTAAAACTACTAGTGACACAGGTGGAATGATGCAGCAGTTTGGAGAATATTGTACTTAATCGTTTGCAATTGCACATGATGGACGTATAGGTTATTCACCTATTCACTTCTTGTCATTATTTGTATTTAATACTTTATACTTTATTTACAAGTTTATTGTAATTATGGTATTTTTATTACGATTATATCGTGTCTTTTTATTCCTGTACCTATATGTTCACTTTGCTTTATGGGGTTTTATATTTGATGTGTTATATTGTTGCATCGATTCAGTTGTCTTGTGTCTTATCTGTCAGAGAGAAACCATTATTTTATGTTTGTTATCATACATTTTACCTCCTTGTGTCTATGAACCTGATAAAATGTTGTATTTTGCTGCATGTACCTTTTAAAGTTCTTAACAAATAATCTGAGGGGAATTTCTTGTTGTGTATTTTTAACTTGTGATGTGTCATTTTGTAAAGCACTTTGAGCTGCATGTGTTGTATGAAAAGTGCTATATAAATAAAGCTTTATTAGTATTATTATCACCTGAATCTCCTCCTAGAGCACAATTGTGTTCTTTTTAACCAAATATCTCTCAGAGGGGCGTGGGGAGTGGCTCCTTATTTTCATCTAAAAGTAACAGACAGCGAATCAGCACTTTTGAAACAGGGCTGAAACAGAGGGGATTATTTGGTGTTTCAGCCAAACACCTCAGAGACATGTTTGTATATATCTGAGACCTATAATACATTTATGAAAAACTGTATAATAGGGAACTTCAACATCAGCATAGCAGAAGACAACAGATGCCTCCCCCCTGGATGTTGAACCCGAGCACCTGCATGAAAAACCAATGACTAGACCTCTACTTTTTGCTTCTGAAAGTGCACGTGTCTTAAACAATATCTTTGAGTTGCTACCATATTTTGTTTCACTTCCTCTGACCAGTCCCCCTTTTATTTGGAAGCGCTGTGTCCAGTTGTACACAGTGCAAGGAGACACACAGTGTGTCAGCAGTGACTTCTCTGTCAATACATATTTTAAAAGCTTACAGCAACTAAAATTAAGCATATGCAATAAAAAAAATCCTTGATGGAAAAGCCTTTATATCTTAAACAGATGTTATTAATGTAGTAAAACCAAGTGTAAAAACAAGTGTTAGGAGGTACGTGAAGTGATTTTGGTAGAATTTGACTTTAAGCAGGGACCTATTTTTAATATTGCATTGCAGTCTGCTTACTAGTTAAATCAAAACAACAATTGTATTAAGTGTCATTGTTATTTCTCTTTTTTTAAGTAGGACACGAGCAGCAGCATTTCCCCCCGAATGTGAATAATTCCATGCTTCTATGTTGGATGTATGTTCGCCACATTTCCGGTCTGGAGCTATCTCACTCTGGTTGTTTTGACGCAGAGCAGTAATCTTTGCATGACGTCACATCTACGTTGTCTTTATCAACCCAACGGCATCCGTGTGTGTGTGTGTGTGTGTGTGTGTGTGTGTGTGTGCGTGTGCGTCTTCTAAAATCATTTTAATAATTAAACTTTACGTCTCCTTAAAGTGAATACTAAATATGTTTGGAGTACTACTGTGACTGTGTTTTTGAAACTGCTCTAGTGTTTTTTCAACGACTCCTTCCTTCCTCCTTTCAAAACCAGTTCGTGAGAATGAAACAGAAAACCAAGGAGGAACCAGGAAGAGTCTTTCAATAAACACAAAGCACACCTTTGTCCTTCACTGACCAAGCATAACACCTTCACTTATCCATAAAGGTTTGCATAAGTGTTCTTCTACCAATGTAAAAGCATTGTAAAGTATAATGCCATCTCATTTTTTAATGCTACATTAATTTACATCCATAAATAATAGTGTCTTAAGTGACATTATAGTGATTTTACAGTAAATGAAAGGAACGTTTACTTCAACCAGCGCTTTATGGATATTTTTTAGGTATTGAACTATAAACAAAAATGACTGATTATTCTAAAACATACTTTTAGAAGTTTGTCACTTCATTACTGTTATATATATAATATTCTGTAGTGCCGAGAGATAGGGAGTCAGAGGCGGTGCAATGATGGTGTAAAAGGGTACTTTATTTAAGAGCTGGAAAGGACATGTTGTCCGGTTGCAGTCCGGGAAGAAGAGAGAGAAGCCAGGAGGGCACACAATATATATAGACAACCACATACATGTCCGTGCGGAAACAATACCCCCAACTGTAGTTCCATGTGGGAATTATGTAACCCAGTGTATTAATAGGTGGTCACCACACAAGCCCCCCCAGAATTCAAACATGGCAAAAAAACTCCTCGCGTCCGGGAGGAAGCACCATAGGGGCTGAGCGGGGTGAGGTTGCACGTGAGGGCCGGGCCATGGAACGGGCCATCGGAAGGGGGCCGCAGGAGAGGGTAGGGGCCCCAACAAGGGCGAGGGCATCCCCACCGGGGGTGGGGGGCGGGCCGGAACGGGCTGTCGAAAGGGGGCCGCCGGAGAGGGTAGGGGCCCCAACAAGGCCGAGGGCGTCCCCACCGGGGGTGGGAGGTGGGCCGGAACGGGCCGCAGCAGGCGCCGTGGCGAATGAAGTCC